CCTCCTCCTCCTCCTCCTCCTCCTCCTCCTCCTCTTCCTCCTCAGTGCTGTCCATAGCCGTGGCTTTGATGAAGCGCCGACGTCTGCCGGATTTGCGCTGCTGCAGCTGCAGCAGTAACTGCTGCTGGTGTTGATGCTGCTGCGCCTGGTGCTTCTCCAGGCGTCTCTGGAACTCGTGGTTCTGCATAAGAATGTTGCCGACGATCTCTTCGACGCTCTGCTGTGCCGTCAGGCTCGCACGGGAAACGTCGCCCTCGGCTTCTTTGATTCTCGGCGTGGAGGCGGCGCACGGCTCCGGGACGCACCCCTCGACCTTTCCGAGGCTCTTCGACACCTCGTTCCCCGGATCTACGCTGGGGGTCGCGCTCTCGTTGGCCACGTCCGTAACGTCATCCTCGATGTCGGACGGACTCAATTTTATATAAGACTGAAAACCTGGCTCGGATTTCCTCCGCCAACTAGTAAAGCGATCCTGCTCAGAAAAGTAATACAATCGTTTGCTGCCTCGTACCATTCTGCCTTTTCCATGCAAATCTCATTTTATACAACTTTCGACGTTCAAAATATAGCATAAATCCGAGGAAAACGATGGAAAAAGCGAGGGGATAAATTTATTATTATTACGGCTATATTGTTTTCTTGATGGCTTCGTTTACAATCCCAGTGCGTGTCGATTGTTAAATAAATTTTTCATACCAATGTGCCAGCCGATCGGCACTACTGGCTAATATGGGAAAAGGTGTGTGAAAATAAAAGGTTTTTTTTTTTTTTTTTTTTAATTTTGCTAAGCTTGCGGATATTATGGTAAGAAGACGACATGCTGATACAATGATGATTGACAGCACAAATTAATTTTCATCTTAAATATAACAAGTGTCATTAGTTAATAAAGCATTGGATTGTGGATTACTAAAGCTTATTATATATATTGGCCACTCAGATCGGTGGCGTTGATCTTACGCGATTCTCACCTTTATCTTTGATCCTCGAATTTCCGAGCTCCGATTAAGATTTTCGTCCCTTGATCCAAAATGACTGATTGATTCTGCCGATTGGTTCTTACGAGGACACATTGGCGAATTCTACATAAACAATGTATTTTCCGTTAAATGCGCAAAACCCTTAATTTTTATAATAACAACTGACCTCGGCTGTACTTATGGAAACATCGCTTTTTCTGCCCTTTTTCAATTTTTGCCTAAGACCCGTTTCCGATCGTCGCCTCTCCCTGTCCGCCTTTCTGCTGTCAAAATAGTCCGAAGACTTCTTATAATTTCGTTCGAGCGACGTATCGTCTGAAAGGTTATAATGACATTAACAATAATCAGACATTATAATTGGATTGAAATAATTGTCTGTAGCACGCTGGCGCACACTTTACCTTCCGACTTATTTTGACCAATTTGAAGTACTAGTTGGCGGGCGTGCGAAGGTATCACTGCATTATAATTTTCTAAGATCACTCTTTTTATTTGTAACGTCCATTCGCGTTTTTGTTCCAGATCACGAGCCTAAAACACTTGATAATATTAAGAATCCAGATAATAGCTTATGCGAGCCGTACTCTTGCGATTTTAAATATCGTCCTACCTGTAACTTATACTGAAGGTGCGAATTATCGAACGGTATCACATGAAAACTGAGTGGCTCACCAGGAATACTTTCCATTAAAGTTAAATTTGAACACTGGAAATTCATGTGAACAATGGCCATTATGATTATTTTAATTATAGGCAATCATCTACGCTCGCTACTTATTCTTTCACTTCAAAATATCATGAAATCATATGCTTGTGCATTAAGCCGCAATTATAAGAAAGAGTCGGCATCGTACGTACGTGCGATTTCCAAAAATTGCAAAAATTTCCCTCATATTTTCATGGAAATCACCGATAAAGCAGGAATAGAAAATTAACAGCTCCATAGTTCTCTCTCAGACATTGGAAATTGCTAAGATTTTCGTGAAATTTACAACGGCAGCCGTCGATTTCCATCCAATATTATGAAGTTGTTGTAAAATGCGCGAACATTACTTCATTATTAAAAAAGAAAGAAAAAAAAGGGGCGAAAAAAAGAAACAAAAAAGAAAGAAAAAAGTTTCTTAATAGGAAAATCGAATTATCGCTCTACGGTTTGGCCAACTTTCTCGGGAGAGCCTTTGGAATCTACGAGGCGGCGGAGACTCACCAGTATATGCGCCTTGTAGACGAGGAGACTGTCCTCCCTCTTCTTCGTCAGAAGGAGCATACGGTCGAAGAGGAAAGCGTGCCTCGGAGCCTTGGCGCCGCGCATTCTGAAGCTGCCCTCGGCGATGAGCTCGCCGCTGGTGGTGAGGTCCGGCCCGGACCAGCCGTACAGCAGCGACTGTATCTCCTGGACACGGACCGCGTGCTCGTGCTTGCGCTTCATCGCGTTTATGTGCCTGGCGATGCCCGTCATCGCCTCGAGCGCGCCCTCGATCGCGGCTCGACCCTCCGGGCCCGCCGAGCCCGCTGCGAACTCCTTCGACAAATTCTGCGGGGTTGGCAAGTAAAATCATGCCGGTGTTAGTTTACATCCTAATGCATGACGCCCGACTGCTACGCTACAGCTTCCATAGACCCGCGAGATTATTCTTCTCCTAATTGTTGCATCGAGTGCACAATTGCATACTCGAGCTTTATCGACTTTACGAGTCATTGTACGAGTCGTGAAAGGTGAAGCTTTTTTTTCTTTTCTTTTTTTTTAAAGTTTTTGACATAGCCGTAGGGATTTAACATTGGAACGACAAGGATGAAGGATAAAAATTTTGTAGGGACTGTCGCAGAGGGGAAAATCGTAGCTCCATTTACCATTAGCTCATACGATAAATATCATTTTAGTTCTATGTGCCTCGGCTTCGAGTAAAGAGGAACGTTATCCATTAGAGTATAATAAGGATATGAAATTGCATTCATAATATTTATGATATTCGTAATATTTAATACCCTTTCCAAAAACTCTGACCAAGCTACCTGATATTAGTTTTAATCCGGAGATAACACTATTTATCTGTCTATATCTGAGTTATCGGCTGATAATGATAGCGGCGATATATAAATAAACCGCGTTCCGACTCGAGGTAATGCGACGTCGTCAAGTTGTTGGTGGGAATTGATTAGGTTGGAAATTGTTCACGTGTAAGGAAGGTAAAGTATCATCCAAAGATCTAGTAACAAATAACATTGAATAATGCCTTTTTCACAAAATTGTGTAACTAACTGAATTTACTTTTACAAATTATATAAAAAGCTATTAATTGGCTGCACCTTTATATATTATCTTCATAAATTTTTCAATTTTGTATACTATATATATATATATATATATATATATATATATATATATATACACGTATTTCTATTATAGGAAAAATTTTATTTGACGTACATTGAAAATAAACGTAAATACACAGACACGCGCACACTCATCGATGAAATAGTTGATATTTAATAAAAACACGCGCTAATTATTCAAAGCACGGTGTTGATAAAATATTTATAATCAATTAATAGAGAAATAAACAAATCTTCTAAATGTTCTATATGTTTGTCCCTATCTGTCAAGTGTGAATTTGTTAAAAGACGATTTTTAAAACATTTAAAAGATTGTGGTTGCATGTGTGTGCACGCGCTCGTATGTTTAAATGTATGTTTATTATGAACTGCTTGTCATTCGATGGATTATCTTTAAAGCAAATGATAAGTAATGCATTCTCGCTGTTAATAGTATACGCTACGCTATTAACGAATGAAACAGAATCTTATCGTACGTTAAAACTATAATTAGCCATAAAATTACCTAAATTACCTAAAATTAGCCATAAATACTAAGAAAAGTAAAATATTTATAAATTAAGCCTAATACCATAATAGGTGAAGTGAGTTTATAACAATGCTTTCTCGTCCTCATAAAACTTACCTCTAGAAGGAGATGGTATTTAAGAATCCGCTGCACTGGCTTCAAGAGGAAGGAGCCTAGTGGGAGAGCGTGGCCGAGCGCTGCCTGCCTCTCCCTGAATGCTCGGGCGATCTCTTCTTGGCCCATCAATTCCGTTAATATCGAAACGGTCCTACAATTCATCGTCGATTATCAGTATTTGCTTTTAATATCATTTTATTTTATTGTATTTTATTTTTCTGTGTCTTTTTGTCGTCGTTGTTGTTGTTGTTGTTCTTGTTTTTCGTTTGCTCTTAATAATTCATATTTTATATTTTAACGATAGTTGGCCAAGCCATAAGCGTTTAATAATATTCAATAAGTTTGAGACTCATCGTGAACAAGTATTGCTTTATCCGCAATTTTACTACATTTTAATTATACTCGACAATGTTTCATTGCGTAAAAAGCGCAGCGACTCCGTGTATGAGTATCAAGATTTTTAATCGACGGTAAAAACTGTTTATTGACATGTACCTTGGGTAATTTGTGCAATACTCCGTGTATACTTTAAATCCAGAATTGTGCTCTATAAAAGTGTTCGCAACCGCTATTGCATCGAGTCCACTATTATCCAGCGATGATAGGAAGTTCCTAAATTATATTAATGATTCTTAGATGTGCTTATGATGCTGACATTGAAAGAAAAAGCTTTTTCTTTTATGAATAAAGAAGATCTACTTACCGATTAAATTCGAAAATATCTTCAATATTACTAAATAATCCGTTGAGCTCCAAATCCCGAATTAACGACGCGGGATCATCCCTCCAGAAAATTAAATAACCCTAAGGGAAATTATTGTAATATAAGCTCGTACCTCGAGCAAAATTTTTTCTTCTAATGCTTATTAGAATTATCGAGCGATCTTAATCAATAAAAATGATAAATTAATCGACGACATTGGCAGGCATCGATGTAAAAAAAATTCTAGACAGAAATCATTCTTGTAAGCTACCGTATGACATGCAATTATAAAAAAAAAAAAAAAGAAATCGAAAACAACGTTTTGTTTAATGATAAATTAAATGGCCATAGGTACACCATTGCAAAGTAATATTTATGCCTACATGTCCATTAACATTTGAAAGTAAAATCGGCATATTAATCCGAGGCTTATAACGATGACGCATCAATGCAGTGCCGCGGCGCGAACCATTTCAATTTCTGAACAAATCAATTAGTTTAGCATATTTCTTTCACCGACAGATACGTTTCCTGACGTTCGGTCGATAAGTCAGGTCGCGCAGTGAAAGTTAACTGGTATATCAGCGCATTTTGATCGATCGTCTCGGACTCGCTCAGATACGATCTCTCGGTAGTAAAAAGTGCCCGGGGTAAAATTCACTTCCATGATAATATAAGCATGGCGCCCAAAATATTCAGCCGACGCAGCTCCACCCAAACTTTCGCGTGCGAGAGCGAGAGAGAGTGAGGGGGGAGGGGGAGGGGGAGATTGAGATAAGGAGCGAAGGAGCGAAGGAGGGAGGAATGGAGTGGACAAGTCCAGAAGCGCCGGTCAATTAGCGGCGATGAGACGACCGAACGAACGCTACTTCGCTAACGTATCTCGCGGCTTTCATCGTCGTTGGCCAATGCCCTCGGCACTTTCCGCAAATCGCACTCTCCCTCGGCGGAGGAAAAAGCGCGACGCGGAAGAAACCGGATTGGCGCCGATACCAACCTGAATGACTTGTCGGAGATGCTCGACGTAAATGGCCTCGGTGTCGGCAATCTCCAGCAGGACCCTCTCGACGGGATTCCTCTGGGGGTCGCAGTAGCGCAGCCTGCGCTCATCGCAGTAGCGGCCAGCGCTCAGCCGGTCCCGGGCCGAGAGCCGGATCTCGTCGGGGCCGACGCCCGCGCATCCTGGGCTCGTGTCCCCGATGCCAACGTTGCCTACCCCGCCAACGGCGCCATTGACTCCATTGCCAGCGCTACCACCATCGCCGTCGACGTCACCGTCACCTTCACCGTCACCTTCACCGTCACCGTCACCGGCGACACCTCCGCCGACGCCACTGCTGCCACCGCCGCCGCCACCGCCGCCGCCTCCGCCACCACCACTCGACTCGGAAATCGTCACCACGCCACTGTCGCCCGAGCCTGAAAAACCGTCTAGCTCTTATTTGTCGGGTCGTGGTTGGCTTGGCGCGGGAACATCGAGGATCACTGGGGCGTGGAGCGTGGGAGGGATGGAAGGGGGCCGCACGGACGATTGATAGATACTTTCTGGGAAGAGCTTCTTGACTTTCCTTCCGAGACTCCAAGGCCTCGACATTCCGCAAAGAGAGATACATTGGTCATGATACTTATGTAATTGAAGCTTCGCGATACAGGAAGCGTCGCACAGAATTTCACGTCGGATTAATTATGTGGCATTTGAGTTATGCGGTAGAGATATCAAGGCTCTCGTTTATAAATTTTACTACAACATCCTGATGCACTTGCTAACAATTACGTACACACCGTGACTTACTTATTTCTTTCGGCTTGAATATTGTTCAATTACTTGTTATGTTGATCAAAAGGAAGCAGCAATAACCATGGGGACGTGCTTGCTCCTTAATTGCAAATAATCCATGGATCGATTGTAGTCGCATTATTGTTGTTATTTGAAGGTCGTTGCCGTGCTTGCATGCAAGATGCTCAAAATTCATAAATGCTCGGTACGCATTGATTAAAAGTAAAATCAAGCAAGGTATGTTAATTTATGTTGATTAGTTGAGTAATATGGCGTATTTTAATCGCTTGAGCACATTAAAACATTCGATGTTTTTCGCTCACAAAGACGTTAAGATTGGGCACGTAAGGTTTTTGTAAAAACATAACGATTATTAGGTTCATGTTTATTTATTGAAAGGTATGTTTTTAGAATGCTAGATAGAATTTCGAGGATCGAAGGATAGACTGGCTAAAGCAAGTACATCGATCGACTATTAATAACGCGCATCGAGGTCTTATTTTCTAAATAATCTATTTTCTAAATAAAATAATTGCGCATTGGGCATTTACCGCCTTATCGCGACAAGGACAACAAGAGTCGACCGTTTGAAAAATCTAAAATTTCATCCACTAATCATTTAACCAATAAGTAATTGAGTTATCGAGTCCTGAGCCGCTTAAGAGTCTCGGCCATTTCCCGTATACATCAGTTCGCAAACAAATAAATAGGAGATAAATAAATACCCGACAGGTACGGCCGCCAATGGTCAACGAGGTATTGGGACGCAAAAATGAAATTTAAGGATCGACGTTAACCGTTAACCAAACTGGACGTCGGCCAAATTTTCAGTCGCCACACGCATGGAAAGTTCTCCGCGAATTTTCTCTTTCACGTACCGGAGTTGGCGATCGCCGGGGAAAGACGCGACGGATGACTTTTTCTTCTTCTTGTGTGCCTTCCTCGATGATGCGCGAGTGAAAGTACTTTTATGTAAACGGTGGCGCGAAGAGAGAGAGAGAGAGAGAGAGAGAGAGAGAGAGAAAGATCGAGGAATACAACTTTTCGGCATCATGTCCAAATTTCACAACCTTAGCACTGATTTCATTCGATACGGTAATAAGAGTAACGCACATTTCGCTTTCTTATCGCATACCACGAAAGGTTTATCAGTCTCGTTTTTTTTTTATTTGCATGTATATATCTATGTATATATATATATATATATATATATATATATATATATATATTAAATTCATTGACTCGACAATATTTAGGCTAATCGTTATCGATTATTCAACGTGAATAGTGAAGAGAACGAAGAATAAAATTCTAAGATTGACTAGAAACAAGTTTTTTACCGTACAATATAGATCCTTTGTTTACCGAAACGTAACCTTTCCATTTTTTTTTTTTTAATTCAATTTAATTACATTATTGTCGTAGCAGTTACTTTATACTGAAATTTCGTAAGAGCAAACCTTACTAAAGTTTGCTATTTTTTATCTTACCCAACTGATTTCAATCGATATAAGCTAACGCGATAACCTAAATTATTGATTATTTAGCATTATTAAATTCATTCACTTTTTATTATTGATTTTTAACGATCCACTATCCCTTATTAATTAAATTTCTTATTAATAATCATAGAAATAGAATTAATTGATAACGTTGAATTACCGAAAATGTATAATTTGCTTACATCACGATTTCAGCTCCCGAGAGAAAGATATTCATTATCATAAGAACGTATGATTAACGATGAACTTCAAAAGAAAAGATATTTTATTAATTAAAAATTGCTTCAATTGTAAATTAAAAAACATAAAGAAATGAAAATGAAATAAATAGAGAGAAAATGAAAGGGAAGGAACATTGGCTTTTAATGTCATTTTTCTCTCGAATTTGAGATGAAACTTTCCCCGAAAGAATATATTACAACGTCGAGATGACAAAATTTTTAGCTCAAACATGTCCATCAAGTTCAATGATAATTAACGCATTTAAAATGGTAATATTATACCTGGATTTTTAATGACGTGTCGTTTAAACAACGCAACATCACTGCGAAATTCCTCGTCACGTTTCTCCACGGCGTGCAAATATTAATTTTAATCGATAATAAGTCGCTCGGTTTTATTATAATATTAATCAAAGAAATGAGAAAATTGATCGAAAATATTATACTACATTTGACGCATATGCAAAATGAAAGAAAAAATAAATAAATAAAAAATGTGAAATAATAATGACACGGGAGCTTTTTCAATGATTTAAACTACTTTATATAACAAATTATAGTGCAATCTTTGCTGCGTAAATGTTAAAATTAATAATACGCTCGACCGAAAAAGCAATTTCTAACATCGATATACGAAGTATACATTGCACGTATTTTTTAATCTCCCGTGAAATTGTAAAGCTTTTAATTAAAAAAAAATCCTCTTTATAAGGCAGCAAATGATAACGACTCACTCAAGAGCCTAATTGACACATTTAAATTAATTGTCGTAATTTCTTATCAGCCCTGCGTAATATCCTATATTTACATTTTATTTTATATTTACGTGTATCATTGAGAATTTATCGCAATTTATCAATTTATTTTATTTTATTGTTTATTTATTTATTTATTTTTTTTTTTTCATTCGCGCAATTTAAGCCTCTTTAAAAATGCAATATTTGTTTAGGTTAGTGCCGTGCGAGGAGCGGTGGTTTCGCTGCCCGTGAAAGCCGAAGCGAAGAAGTAACTCTTCTTTTCTTACAATACGACATAACAAACGACGAGGCTGACAATTGACTAGTCAAACTATCGGGCCCTATAAAAACTCCTCGTCATTCTTATATTTTCATTATGAATAATTGAAGTAATACGAGATAGTCAGTTTGATAAAGTGTTCCGGCAGGTCTCTCGCCTCCTTACATCTCTTTAACTTCCTCGTAAGCGATGTAAATAGCCTGGGCATTAATCAATGTTTGCGATTTAAAAAGGGAAATTAATTTTCAAAATCTGTCACTTTCTCCGTGCCAATTATAAAATCCAATTGGCAATCGCTCCGACGGTCCTCGCTCGCTAATATCTAAATCAGGCGGTGACCTTAAAAGAGCGTAAAAGCCGAGTCCCGGAGTCGTATGGTCGAGCCCGATAGGCAGAAAAGAACGCACGCGCGTGCTCGACGTGACCGTTGGCAGGGACTTGGTGGGGAGGGGGGATCACGGGAGGGTCGGGCCCTCGTCGTCCGGGCGCTTACCTTGAGAACTGGCGCAAGTGTCGGCGAGCGATTCGACCGAGGCCAAGTATGGATTGGCGGCACCGCTGGCGTTCCCCTGGTTGCTGCATCCGCTGGAGGAGGTGCTCGAGGCAATCGAACTCCCGGACAGGGGCCTCCCGGTGGACTGGCGGCCGTGGCACCGCTGGGCGCCGTACCTGCAGCAGAAACGCGGGCTCGTGAATTTTTGGACCGAAGTAGCTAAGTGACAGCCATTATGTATATCGATCTTCCTTGCCGATCAGATAGTCCCTTATTAAAGATTAACGAATATCGCTGTTCGGGATGTCGCTGTGGACGGTTGTAAGGCAGCGATAATAATTCGCCGACTCTCTATTATTGCGTAATAAATGCGATTAATCACTGTTGTAATGATGCTTAACAAGTCGACTAGAGAATTATAGAATGCAGCTGAAATATGTACTAGTAATAATAAGTCGATGGGAGGAGGAGGAGGAGGAGGAGGAGAGGGAGGGGGGACGGGGGCGAGCATCATTGCAATGCGCGAACCTCGTCAATATTTGAGAAAGATGCCCCCCGTCGTTCGCTGCTATTAACGAAATTTTTTTCACAAATCTAAAAGAATTGTTGGTTAAAAAATATTTTGCATTATTGATAATAGGAGACAATAGCTGCGTTGATATATATATATATATATATATATATATACATGCATGGATTAGTCACATGATATTATCGAGCGATTTATGATTAATTTTCTGTAATTTAAGCATTTTCATCGGTTTCGATAGGTTTTGATAGAGACGAGTCTATTTGCCTCCAACTGGCATAATGACGCGATCTCATTTGATTAATATACTCGCCTTTGTAAAGAATATTCGCTAATTTATTAATAAGACTTTTTGTATGCGCGCGTTTGTGTTTTTCTTTGTGCCTGCATTGCAATTTGTTATGCAGAGGCGCTATGGGGGCTACGGACAATAACAACAGGACACCGACGACCGCATTTGTAACGCGACAATGTTAGAATGCGCGCGGGCGCGCGCGAAGGAAAGATTTACTAGTAACTGAACATTTTCCATGTCATCGATAACTTTTTATAATCATAATATCGAGGCTTACACGTTGCGACCTTCTTACGCGCTTTTCATACATATCCGTCTATTTTCAACGTTGCGATCCTTCGAGCACAAATAGTCGAACAATCTTAAAGGAAATTCGTTGTTACTATCATAAGGACGAATGCTTAATTAGCCGTGTATGTGCGGGGGATATTTAATTATTTTTCTCCGTTTCAATTTGCAAAAGAATCTCCGAGGAGTACAATAATTTCGTCACAATCACAATAATTGTTTATATCTTTTTGCTTTTATCGCTGTGTACATAAACAATTTACGTATCTTGTGCTGTTACGCTGAAATAACGTTGCGCGAACTTACAATGTTCCAAGAGCCGTTAAGATAGCAAATATATAATATACATACGGAATAAAGGACATAAAATTGTTTTTATCGCATTAAAAGCCGAGTAAGGCTTATTAAACATAAAGCTTATGTACGTATGTATTAACGAATATTTATCGTATATATAGACATTGATATTTTTGTTTATATATCTTGGGTTATAGGCGGCAACATGTCAGTTGTGCAAAAAAAATACGACCTGCCAACTTATCGATGGCCATTACACGCTTCTCCTCCATTTTTCATTTGCCATTGTCAAACTTGAAGAAAAACAGCGAGAAAATGACTTATTATCGCTGTATGTTCTACTAAAATACATAATAAATAATTCAAGGCTGTGAAATTGTAAGGAAACGAGTGAGAGCGCAGGCGTGCAAAAGGCAGTCGAATGCCACGTACGTCTATTAAAACATCCAATGTGATAATCATTTACATACATATGCTCGCGTCAGCCTCTCCACCCCGCCATCTCCACAATTAATGCGGAAGTGATGTTTTTTTCTTCTTCTTCATCTTCTTTTTTTTTTTTTTTTTTTTTTTTTTTTTTTTTTTATTTTATTTTATTTTATTTATATATATTATATATATTTTTTCTTCAACGATTTAAGCGAATTGTCGTAACTTCTCGCACGGAGCTGCGTAATCTTTCGCAAGATATAGATTTCGACATTCGACGCGTCGGCTGCCTAACGGTATAATCGCCCGATTAAATAACGTAATACCGAAGATTCGCATTAACGGATCGCGCGATCCTCTATTAGAGCGAAATTTCAACGATGCGCGTATTTTCAATTATACCTTTTCCAGCTTTCGAATTAGCGATAAAAGGATCGTTTATGAAATAAAAGATACCATAAGGAGTGTCGCGTACGCAAAGCCGCTCTCCTCTCATCAATCGGCTTGTCATCGTAATTGTAGAACAGCGTTGAAGAATTCGCGTGCCTCCTGGGCCCGTAATTACGTTATAGCCGACGCCTAAAAAGTAGCAGCGCCCCGGGGGACGCGGCCGCGCGCCCTCGTAAAAAGGAACGCGGGAGTGCCGCGGGAGGAGAATGAAGCGGATGGTAGGGGCGACGAATGTAGGGGCGGCGCCTCGGCTCGGTTAATCGCGCACAAGTGCCTCGACTTCATAATCTTGACAAAGCCGGAGCCTATGTGCCGAGGGTCAATGGGGGCGCCCGACTTTTTGCCCAAACCTCGGCGCATGTACATAGGCGCGCGCGTTCCCTCGTATTATCGCGCTCTACGCAGCCGAGTAGATCGAGCGTTAGAGCGAGAGCGGCTCTAGGTGGGACGACGAGATGCGATGGGTGTGTGGCGGGAGGTGGAATTGAAATGGACGAGGGTGGGGACGGGGGGAGGCCGTGCAGGGATAGGAAAAAAGAAGCGAGTATGGTTGGGTAAATGGCGCGGCTGAGCTGAGACGCCGCGACCGTGCGTCGCCACACTCGAGTGCAAGTATTTGCAATAACAAGTTATTTATTGTACGCTTCTGTTGCGACGAGGCTGCTGCTTCATTCTTATTTGTTATTTCGTGGAAGATGACGTGGTGGGTGCGGGTGCGGGTGCGGGTGCGGGTGCGGGTGGGAGGGGGGGGGCATTTATCCTTAAGCTGTAATACAAAGGCGAGTGATAATACGAGGAAATTGATAAATTAGGATATTTGACGATAAGAGGGTTATTGTCGAATTTGTGCATGTAGAGTGTGTGTTTGCAAGAGGAGCAACAAGTACGTTCGGCGAGGGTCGAAGTGACGAGATACGAAACGCTTATTGCGCTTATTTCGTTTGGTTCTGTGCTACACCTCATTATTAAATAAATTAATTGCAATTTTAAGCATTTATTCTTGTTAATCAAGCCAGAAATGTATCCCGAGTTTCTTTGAATTTCCATCCTATTCCGGCCAACTTGGCTTTACTCGGAAGCGAAATATGAATGAAACGTGAATAAATAAAGAAAAGGGAAGAGATGAGAAAAAAAGTATTTTTAAAGCGGAAGCTGTAATCTATTACGAAAGCTTACAATGTACAAGTTAGAATAGAGCCGTACCGAATTATAAAGTCATATAAAATTTAAATTAACTCCAAAGCCCCGTCTGTCGTTAGTTTATATATATATATATATATATATATATATATCTATATATATATGCGGGTACGCAAATAGAGATGCCTTAGATCATTTTAAAACCATAATTTTTATGTTTCTGTCTTTCCTTTTATATATTCTCTTCGCTTACGCATAAGATTATGAAGAATAAAAGACGCGCGTTTGACGCGTAAAAGATTATATGGCCATTGATCGAAGCGAAGCGAAACTTTTGCGTATTCCCAACAGAAATAGAAAAAGAGACGCGTCAGTTTCGCGCGGGCAGTTATTTCGCGCAAAGGCCAAATTAAGGGCTGCGCTACATTTGGAAGCGCGTCTTGTTAGAAATAATTGTGCTGTACGGCCAAAGCAGATGCGCGAAGAGTACGAAGGAATAAGGGAAGGGAGAGAAAGCAGGTCAGGTTGCACTCGCTCGTGAAGTTTAAATGCAGTCGAAGGAGAGTCGAAGGAGTAGCGAACTACCACGTAATGTTGGATGACGGATGGCGGGAGGGAGGGGGGATGGGAACGAGAAGTTCTCGTTCGGATTAATAATGATTTGAAATTTCGGCCTGAAAGGCGAGATACGGTTGAAAAGGAAGGCGCAGGGGCGCCGGGAGAAGTGGATCGGCGGCGATGAGCGTCGCATCGGAAATAGAGACGACGACGAGGATTATCGGCTCGATCGCCGCTGCAAATAAGTGCCGACGATGTGGCGACGAGGCGTGTAGTGACGGGTATTACGGAGGAGGACGGAGGAGGTAGGTTTGATGAGGAGCCGGGGGCGAGGGGGCGGAGGGGTGGGTGTGTTCTGAACAATAATCTAGAGGACTCTGGAGCCACGGCACATTTGTGCGTTTGATCGCGAACGGCCGATCGAGGAGCAGCGACACGGCCAACGAGACTATAATGGCAGTGCGTCGGCTTTGTCCGTGGGGCAATAATAATCGCGATTCTCGCGGGGCGCTAATTAGACGCGACGTTCGTATGGAGCGCCAATGAGGTGGGCGTCGCGGAAATGCCATCTCGCTGTAGTCGACGCATCAACGTCATTGACTGGATAAGTCGTTATTTCCGTGAATGAGTGAGGCGATAGTGCGGCCAATTCGAAAGTGCTCGATAGTTTGTTCGTTGGTCAAGAACGCGATTCCGTGTGGCGCAGTGCTGCGGCACCGCTGGGATGGGTGCGCGACAACGAGGCCGAGCCCCCCCCCCGCTCGCTTGGAGCATCCAGGGACACGAGGAATCCACTGCCACGGATTCTCGCCCGACTAAGAAAGGGCGAGGCTCGGCGGGAGGAGAGGGTGGAGCTAACAGGCAGAGATCGAGTCGCGATGAACACACCTGAGTTGAGTGGGACTGTCCTTGTCCTCGTGGTCCTCTTCGTCGTCGGCGGGGCTGGTGACGAGCCGCGCTTCGAGGACCGGCCCCTCGTCCATCTCACCTACGGTCACGCGCGGCATCTCGCACACCCTTGACCTCCTCTTCTGCACGAGACTGAGCCGCTTCTGCAGCCCGGACGGCACAAACTGAGGCTCCTCGTCGCCCTTGCCGCGCGCTATCTCGTCGAACATTCCCAGCAGCTGCGGCACGAGGTCCGTCGTGGTGCCTGGAACACGTGAGAGAGGGAGAGAGTGAGCCGTCAGATTAACGTACACTTTGTTGAGCGCGTCTACTTTTGGAACGTCGGGGCCGGGGCCACACGTCGAGGAACGTTGACGGTGGCGGTGGGGGATGGAGGAAACGGGGATGGTGATTGGGGAGGGGTAGTGGGAGGAGGAGGAGGGAGGGAGGGAGGGAGGGAGGGAGGTAGGGGGGTGAGAAGGGCGGTTATATTAAATCGTAGAGGAAACGAGTCGTGCCTTGGATGTGTCGGATTGGCTTTCGACTGTATTTGCACGTTTTCGTTGAACTTTTTGACGATCGGAGGTGCGTATGAGCGATTTGGCGATGTTTCGGCGTTGTTTCGTTAGCGTTTTATCGAAGATCCAAATCGGGCTGAATACGTAATGCCCGTCGTGTTATTATTTTTTGATGAAATTAGCATTACCTTGCCGTACACCTTGCGATATCTAAATCATTAAGAGATATCTTATGGCGTCAATGAAATTTAGATAAGACCAGCTTCTTATTGATTTTTAGATTTTAAAAAGCCCGGCTTAAATTTTACGCCTATTATTATGCTAAGTGAAACAAAAATATCTACTTGATTGACAATATGACGAGAAACCTGTTGAAATTTTTGAAATTTTCGATCCCAACGAGCTTATATCGCACAACGAGCGCACGCATGTGTTTGTACACATAACTAAGCGATAACAATTACGTTGTAGAAAGCTCTAAGATATAAGTTCATAAGTAGCACAACATTTGCCGTAGACGAACGCATAAGAGCCTTACACCTAAACAGGATTAATTAATACTTTTTTAATGCGTGCGATAACACACGATACGTAATTTAAAGAAGATTTATTACATTACAAGATGTTGCTTATAAAGTAGGGGACACGGCACTTGTTGGTGAAGTACGTCAGGGGCGCTAATTGAAAATAACAAATCGATGAAAATTATTGGACAGTTGGCAATGACAAAATTGAATATCAAAGAATTCGAGCGACATTGAAGCACGTGTCATGCGAGTGATCTCATAGCTCCTCCTCGTACACTCATAAAAATTTCTGGCCTGCCTATGATATATTTCAAACGGCACCTTATCAAAGCCCGCAGGTGAATAGGATCTTTCGTAATACGAGGCACACGAAGATTACCGCCAATGTATAACTCACAGAATAAACACGGCACAAAGTCATGTAAGGCGCGCGGCTTCAAAACAACGTCTGTCTCGCTTCTTTTCAACGTTATTGCAGTCCAATAAAGGTCGTTACTTTTCAACAATTCTCCAAAGATTTATAGTATCGAAAATTCAAACGTTGCTCCATAAACCACGCGATCGTAATTTCGTATTGCCCATCCTTTGAACTATTGAAGTTCGAGGATTGGCTACACAGAGACAAGGACGGAATTTATTTAAGCGCGTCTCCTCCCTACCGATTATTCGTGTTCCACTGTACAATCCGTATGGTAATACATCTTATTAATCTAATCGATTCAACAAATTGTATGTATGTTCATTCGATCGGACAGAAAATCACATCGTAATATTAATTATCCTGTAGAAAGTTAAGATACAAAGTTCATAAGTAACACACAACGGTTTCCTCTTTTTTGGAAGTGGTTTCGATTTGTATATAAATTAATTTTCTTTATGTAAGCTATTGATTTAATGTATGTGAAGAGAATTAGCGTAACCAAATATACTCTTGTTACGTAAAAGCGCTTAAAAGTACTTAATGAGTCGGCCAGACATAATTTACGGATTTACTTAAGATTCGAATATGGCTTCCATCTTAGAAAAACTACTACGTGGACCGTTTTTTCTTTTTTTCTTTTTTTTTTTTTTTTTATGGTTTTCGTTCAAACTCGTTTGATTTTTTAATAACCAGTCGTAGTATTGAGATTTAGTGTATTAGTTTTTGATAAACAGTGATTTTAAGAGGTATAAATGAATTGTGAGAGTTAAAAATTTGGTTTTGAATTTCCACTGATTAATGAGCAGTATTTTGGAAAAATTTAATAATTTGTAATGAAATATCACGCAAATCTATTATAAACATTTTAATATACAAGATGAAAAAGGATTGTTGATTTTTTTTTTTTTTTTTTTTTTTTTTTTTAAATTTCCATTCTCATATATTTCCATACAAATCAGTCGTTTACTCGTTCCCCCCCCCCCTACTCCACCCTAATTCCTTCAAAATCCTTTTTCTCTACTCTCTCACTTACATTCAGTGTATCAGAGAGCAGCCGTGTCGGATCTTTGAAGTATCCATAAACCTTTGCTATACGCATAAAAATTGCTTCTATAAATCAGCGTATTTTTTAATCACTTTTTCCTAATATATCTAAAGCCGTACGTAAAAAAGAAAGAACGCCCGTACCTTTTGGTGCCAAACGCGCGGAAGTCTCATCTAAATATTCAATAAATTTCCTTTCAGGCTCAACGTCCTAAGTAATGCACTCTATTTATAGAGATAATAGCCTCAGCAATCTCCGCTGCATTCGGGAAAATTCGTGACGAGTGCGGGCACAAAAATATACATCGCGCGAACGAATCGCGGATAACGAGGTCCGATGAAATCCCCAGGGTGAGGAGAAATACAAATGGTGGAGTGGGATCTGTGTGTGTGTGTGGGGGGGGGGAGGTCATAAAGACGAATGAACCTTCTAGCTTTCATATATATGCGGAACGACGACGTCTCGCCTCCTTCTCGATTATGTCGTTCGAAGCGCGATAAGAAACTAAAAATTCAGACAAGCAGGAAGCGCGAACGCACACCTCATCGCGTTCTCCTCGTGTCGCTTTTTTTTCCCCACGTAACATGAAACGATCTAAATTTACGGGAATTAATGCGACTTTGACGCTGGGAGCAGGGCCACGGGAATGGGAGCCCCTCTTTAAAAACCAGACTAAATATCGCCTCTTGCACTCTCGACCATCAAATCAACGTTCATCTTACGCCTACTCCCCAGATAATATTTCACTCTCTTTCCTCGGCTTCCCTGTGCACTCCACACTTTTCAATACAAAATCCTACAGATTTGGTCATATCAGAACTAAAATATAGCGGGAGATATTACCGGACGATTATCCGCTTATCCTCCCTCGCGCATCCCCTCCCCCTAGCCCCCTACGTTATTGAATTTTTTACTTGTGCCGTTAGTCGGCAGCCGTTCTCTCGTCTTTACATAAATCTTCAAGGGAAATGCGCGGGAGGAATTTTATCTTTATAATAAAAACAAATACAAGATTGAGCCAAGTTATTATTGTATAAGAGAGTGGTAGAGCCGGGTAGTGGAGTCTACGCGTAATCGCTGCGATCATACTAGTCGTATGCGAATAAGTTGTCTGGATAAGCAGCAAATTGAATCGCCTGTACGTACGCCCGGGCACATATAATGAGTAATGCAAATGAAAGGAGCAACAATTTATCTATTCTCGAGTGCTCTTCGGCGCACGGCTCGTGGTTTTCTCTCAACCGATATTCTTTCGTTCTCGCGGATTAATGTTATGTGTAGTTTTCAAGCTCGCGTCGGTTATAATGAAGGCGGCCTCCCGCCCCGGCGGCTACACTCGCTCGAGCAAAACGTGAAGTCCAACGGGATCGTCCAGCTCCTCGCCACAGGCGAATTCTCGTGGCTGGCCGAGGAGGCGCCCACCCACGCGTCTCCGCCGGCCATTTCACGGGGCGATTGGTCGCGCCGATTGTAAGATCGACCGGGACCTTCTCCCCCCATCTCTCTGACCCCTTACGCACTATCTAGCCATCGTCGTTGCGGCGAAACGTGAATTTTCCGTCAGCGGAGTGTATTGGACTCGTCGTAGTTGAGAAAGTTAATTGTAATCGGGCAAATTCTTTCGATCCGCTTGTCGGGTGCATCTTAGCGCTGAATTTCGGAGTTCGACTCCGAGAGTTTATCGCGACGACAGATTGGAATTACCAATTGGTAATTGAGCTTCGATAAGCCCAATATAATGTCGTGAACGATTCATTGTTAGCGAAAGCGATAGAAATTTTCAAAATCAATATCTGCCACGACTGGCTTGGCTGCTCAACCGAAACATATTGCCCATAAAATAACGAAGATGGAATGAGTATTGTGAAAAAATGTTAAAACAATAAGCTTAACTAACTTTCTGCGGAGCAAATTTTAGTTTATTATTGTATTTAAATACAAGTTTGCTGCCCTCTTGTTTATTTCACTTTCAAATGGCACGTAATTCTCGCGGAAAATAAAGTTTCTCACTTTTTGTTTACTTACGATGAAATTGAATTCGAACATTGATTGAATCCACAAATGTGTAATTGTTCAACGTACGTTAAAAGCAGAAATTCCTTGTACTACTGTAATTAACAAGATCTCTTTGATATTGTTCAAGGAATTTTTCTCCAATAATTTTTGTAAAATAAACGATCGATATAAAATTAATGTTTTTAAATTCTCACGGCTGTTAAATGGAGAGATTATTATGTTAACCGACGGGCAAAGAAGCTTGAGATTTACATCAATGCATAGAATTATTGAAGATATTGACAAATTGAATTTTAAATAAAAAAATAAGTGATGATATTTCACAAATGTTTTCCTTATTTGACTTTCAACGAATAATTTGTTATGCTTGAAACAGTACCAGCCATTTGAGAAGGTTTACCGTTAAATTCAAATAATTCCAAGTAATATTATTTTATTCATATTAATCATCCAGTTTAATAAATTTTTGTTTTCTACTGCATAAGAATTTATTAATGAACGCATACATAATGGCGTATAAAGTGAGAAATTTATTTAAAAAGAATGAGCGTCTAAGAAATTTCAAGGAATACAAAATTACGAAAGATTTGTATTTCAAATGGTATTTTTATACATTATATTGCACTCTCGAAATAACAAATATTTTTCCCCAGGTATGTCACGCGGAACTGTTTCTAGTCGTAAATCTTGGAGTAAACCAAAGCAAAGTACACAACTTTTTGTCGCATTTCACAATGA